ATCCGGCGCCTGACCCAGTGCTGGCTGTGCCCGGCTGGGACAGCGTGAGTTGCAGTTTGGCCTCACTGCTGCGCAGCCTGGACCGGGGCCTAATCTCCGCTGACTCGACGCCACCCGGTATTCACTAACGGCATAGCCCCGGCGTCGCGGCGGCACCCATCTGGCGGGGTTGCGGTGCGGCAACGGAAACGTTTGCCCGTAAACGGCGACAAAAACGCGACAGTCGCCGCCTGTTCGGGACAGTGCCCACGCCAGGCGGCGGCCGGCGGTGTGGAGCCTACGGCGCCGCCCGTGTGGGAATCGGCTCACGCGCTTCGATGGTATCATGGCAGAGGATGGTCCAGGCGTTTGGTCTCGGAGCGGAGCAGCTGGTCAGGTCGGCGCCAGTGTGCAGACACGCGAGAACTCGTCCGTCTTCTTGTGTCGCGCGGGCCCGGTCTGCATCGTTGCGAGTCTGGTGTGCTTTGCTACAGCTGCAGCCGCTGCGGAGGACGGCGAGCTGACACCGGGCGAACAGTCCCGCCGGGGCAGCTGAACAGACCCCCGGGGCAGCTGAACAGTCCCCCGGGGCAGCTGAACAGTCCCGCCGGGGCAGCTGAACAGTCCCCCGGGCAGCTGAACAGTCCCGCCGGGGCAGCTGAACAGTCCCGCCGGGGCAGCTGAACAGTCCCGCCGGGGCAGCTGAACAGCCCCGCCGGGGCAGCTGAACAGCCCCGCCGGGGCAGCTGAACAGCTCGGAAGGGGTAGCTGAACAGTCCCACCGGGCACCTGGGGCAACGGCGTTCGGACGTGCGGCATGGTAGCTTTCGTGGTGTTTTTGCCTCACTGGTGTTGCACGTGAGTGTGCGTGTGTGTGGTGCGCATGTGTGTGAACGTGCATACAAAACTGATCTCTGCCATTTGGCCCATATTCGTGGTTGGCTTTGGTCGCTGCATTAAATAACCACGTGTTTTACACATCCATCACGAAGTATAATCCGAGATGCGAGATCAGATCAGCCCCTCAACACGCACACCGTCCTGTGTTGATGAGCCTTTATCTAGATATGAGACAGGCATCCAATGCTTGGTCACGACGCTAACCTTCGCGTGAAAGGCTGTGCCTTTATTTGGGTGCAATCCGTGATCTCTATGGTCGTATACCTGCCATTAAGTCTTGTGTGACAACGTGGGCCATGCATATCGCTCCTTTTGATCAAGCTATGTGCAATCATTCACCAACTAGCTCAAGTAGGGCACTTATCCAAGGGTGGGTAAAAACACGTTCCTTCTCTTTCTCGAACAGCTTTTAATCGGCTCAGGAGAGTCCACCACACGCTTTTAGCAGACACCTTGTAGTTATCCGATGCAAACTGGAACAGCTGTTATGATGGTGGACTAAGCCGCGGATACATGCCACCATATGAGAAGGCTTGTACGGTTGCTTGTGACGTCAGAGGCAGCGGTGTCCAGTTTTCCCTCTTGCTATGGAATGGTTTGGTGTAATACATCAGCTGGTTGGAGTTCGCGTGGTCAGAATGCAGTCTTACAATGAGAGATCGCTTTCGGTCGGCATTAAAGCAATTTCAAGTCAGCTTACATATACCGAGTCCCAGGGACTTGCCGACCAGTTGCCATGCATCAGTTAACAAACCACGCACATTTTTTCAAGAGTCCTATGACTCAGAAGAGTAAATCATTCACATAGTGTAGTGTCCGAGACTGTACGGAGTCAGAGGCTGTACCGTATTCCGCAGCACGCGGTCAGAGCCGGCGGGCGCGCTCAGCGGTGCTGCGTGCTGCAGAGGATCATGGCCACGCTACGCCAATGGGTGGCCGTAAGAGCACCGGTGACCGGCGCACCGGTGCGCTGGGCGGGCAGGGTGCACTGGGCTGGGAAGGGGTGCGCTGGGCTGGGAAGGGGTGCGCTGGGCGGGCCGGGGTGCGGCTGGGCGGGCAGGGTGTGCTGGGCGTGCAGGGTGCGCTGGGTTGAGAAGGGGTGCGCTGGGCTGGGAAGGGGTGCGCTGGGCGGGCCGGTGTACGCTGGGCTGGGACGGGGTGCGCTGGGCGGGGCAGGGTGCGCTGGGCTGTGACGGGTTGCGCTGGGCGGGCAGGGTGCGCTGGGCGGGCCAGGGTGCGCTGGACGGGCCGGGGTGCGCTGGGCGGGCCAGGGTGCGCTGGACGGGCCGGGGGTGCGCTGGGCGGGCCGGGGTGCGCTGGGCGGGCCGGGGTGCGCTGCGCTCGGACGGGGTGCGCTGGGCGGGCTGGAGTGGGCTGGGCTGGGCAGGGAGAATCGAGTGTGGACCGGGGGCCGAGGTGGTGCGGTATAGCCTTTTAAGTAATTGCCTTGCCTATCAATTTTTCTTTGCTGGCCGTTGTGCTAAAATTTCACGCGCCAAGTCAAGCTGTTGCGTTTGGCTGCGACATACGCGAAGGTGGAGCTGGATAAGAAAACCCTTCACGTAAATATCTTTACCCGACTCCAGCTTGGGGTAACCTTCACCGTAAATGATCTGACCGTTGAACGCATTCTTGCCGTATTTTTCCTGCCAGAGTAATAAAGTCCTGCCGCCTGCTGCCAAGTGACCCAGCCATTCGATTTAGATGGCTAGTGTTGCAGGGCCACGGAGCCACCAAGGAGAGCTATCAAACGGTTAAACGACGTTATAGAGCAAACCATCGGTTAAGTTGTCAGTACTCTACGCTTCAAGATGTGCTTGCAATCACGAGTGCAGTATCAGTGTGAGGAAGTACTACCAGATGACCGATGTTTGTTCATAAAATGCTTCAGCCAATCCCTGTTCGTATATCGAGTATCGTCGCGGTGGCTGGGCGTTTGAGGGCGCGTAAGCTTCGAGGACATTTTGCGCTCGGTATGCAATGAGGATCGATATCTCAGCGAAATAACTCTGTCATAATTCCGAAAAACCAGGGGCTGAGGCCCTTTCTCGTTTATACCAAACTCTATCCCAAGAAGGCGCCGTTCTTTTGATTAAAGTGACAAGGGCTACCAACTGCCGTTTTAACTTCCACGGCCCAGAGCCAGATCCTGAGATATCATAGCGTGGTACGAGAAACCTCCGTTACGAGCCTTTACGAACCCTCCCCAGGATGGTCGTGGTCGGCAAAATGCCCCAGTAGTGCCGGCAGTGCCAGGAGGAGGCGACGCAGAACGGGAGGCGGCAACGGGACAAAAAGAAAGCACAATGAGGCGGAGATAAGATATAAACAAACAACGGCAGAACAGGAGACCACTAACGTCACATTCACAAACAACAACAGCGGCGTTAGGGTCCGTCTGCCGGCCTGACACCGCCGGTGTCCGCCGCCGTCTTGATACCGCCGGCGTCCGCCGACGTCCTCATGCCACCGGTGTCCGGACACAGCCTGTGTCCGCCGCCGTCCTTACACCGCCTTTGTCCACCGGCCGTGCAGACTCCGCGGTGTCCGCCGCCGTCCCGCTTTACTATTGTCGGCCGTCGCTGGTGAGGCGGGACCCCCCCCCCCCCCACACAGCACACCCCACCGCGGTGAGGAGTCAGGCGGGCCTCGGCCGTGTCCGGCGGCAGGCAGCACGCGCCGGCCGTCGGCGCACCGGCCGGCGCCGAAGAGGTGTACCCGGCCTGGCTGCACCGCCGCCGCCCGGCTCGCGCGATTGCAGGCTCCCGCTGCCGCCGGCCGGCTTGGCTACGCCGCTGGCCGCCCGGTCCGCCCGCTCGCAGGCTCCCGTTGCCGCCGGCCAGCCTGGCTACGCCGCTGCCGCCCGGCTCGCGCGCTCGCAGGCTCCCGCTGCCGCCGGCCGGCCTGGCTACGCTGCTGCCGCCCGGCTCGCGCGACTCGCAGGCTCCCCAGCGCGGCGGGCCCGGATTATTATGATGGCGATCGGCCGGCACCGGCTGATGGAGCGTGGCGTCCCGAGACGCGACCGGGGACGCCATCGCCCGGGCCGACCGTTGCCACGGTTCCCGGCGACGCAACGGAATCTGCCGCCAATTAAGATGGAAGGAGGAAGCGCCCTGTGCTGGACCGTTGCGACGCTACCGGACGTCTTTCCGGCACTTGATGGCGAGAGTTGGCTGTGGCGCCGATAGTGAACGTCGGGTCTGTGACGCGGCAGGGAGAGCCTCTGGGTCCGTGACGCGGCAGGCAGAGCCTCTGGACCCGTGACGCGGCAGGGAGAGCCTCTGGGTCCGCGACGCGGCAGGGAGAGCCTCTGGGTCCGTGACGCGGCAGGGAGGAGCCTCTGAGTGGTGCTGAGAGTGGAGCGCCGCGCTTTGTTGAAACTTGGACGAGTGAGGTCGCAAAAGTTATGAATTCGGACTGGTGCTGAGGCTGTAATGTGAGTGTTTCCTCTCAGCGTATGCCGCGGCCCGCCGTTCGTGCGCCCCGCTTACACTGCCAACCTACACTACTACACTGCGCACCCCACTACACTGCCAACCTACACTACTACACTGCGCACCCACTACACTGCCAACCTACACTACTACACTGCGCACCCACTACACTGCCAACCTACACTACTACACTGCGCACCCACTACACTGCCAACCTACACTACTACACTGCGCACCCACTACACTGCCAACGGGGCCCATGGGGCATCGCGCTCCCTGTTTTGAATGGCTCAGCGCAACACAACACTGAGGTGGTTGACGCGGCATTTGACGGTGTCACGCCGCCACAGACGCGTCCGTGGTCAGACGTGGGCGTGCTGCCACAAAATGCAAAGCAGTGGTCGAGTTTTTCCACGTGCGCCCCTCCACCCCAAGGGGTGGCGGCCTTTGGCTGACCGGCCGGCGATCGCTGTCAAGCCGCAGAACATGCGCCCTGCGGATCTTCTGTGTTTGCATGCATCTTCCGTGTACTGGAACGCAAAATATTGCAATGTTGGGATATGCATTTTGCTCTGAGTTTGGTTGTTTGGATGTTTAGATCGGGGCTCTTTCAGCCATAACAGATCATTTCAGGGCTATGGGATAGAATGAGAACGGCTAACAGTAACAGCAGGGTAGGACTATATGCACCTGTGGGGCCAACCACCAAACTTCAGCTCACGCCGGGACGTGCGCTGGGGTGTGCGTTGGGTGCCCGGTCGGGGTCCCCCCTTCCCAGGGGCCTCTCGGCCCACTCGTGTTTGACGCATGCAGTCTGCCCCAGACAAGCGGGGGCGTCATGAGAATGAAGGATGAGGCAAACAAGAGGATAAAAGGGTTCAATTGACGCGGAGTTTCTCTGACGCTCTTTTTTTGTTACAGCTATATGTGATATGCCAGTCTTATGCCGGACTCTTGTGTGACGTCTGTGCCCGTCTTTCGGTAGGTGGCGCTAGTGACCAGCCGTGAGATGGCGGCACCAGAGACATTACGGGTGGCCGCCAACGTGTTGCGCCTCAAAGGCCGCACGCTGCTGGTGCCAGCGCTGGCCACCACAGTGCTGCTCGTGATGCTGGTGGTGGGCCGGTGGACGGTACCTGCACCAGCGGCACGGACCGGAGCTGGGCTGGTGTGGCGGCGCGCGGCGCTGGGCAGCGAGCACAGCGATGACGCGGGGCCGGCAGACCGGCGTCAGGCCGCCCCCGCCGCCCTGCACAACGCCGCCAGGCGGAGCTACGTCTCCGGCCAGCGGTTTGTGGACTTTGACCCGTCGGAGGGAGTGGACACGAGAGAGAGGACCGTGTCCGGCCCCACAGTGGCGCTCGTGTCCGCACCCTCCACGGTACTCGAGCCCGCACCCTCTGCGGTGCCCTCGTCCGCACCCTCTGCGGTACTCGTGCCCGTACCCTCCACGGTACTCGCGTCCGCACCCTCTGCGGTGCCTGCGTCCGCGGCAGACGTGCGTTCGCCGGCGACATTACGCGACAGGACGTTCGCACGCGAGACGGTGACTCGGGCGCCCGGTAACCGGCTGGTCGACCGGGACCTGTTCGCGTCGAACGCGGCGGCGCGTCCGCTGCTGGGCCTGAAACTGGAGCGGGTCCACCATCGGGCCAGGCCGAAGCGGGCCGCCGGCCGCCTCTTCGCCGGGTGCGGCGGCGTCCCCAGCGCCCGGGCCGGCAGCGGAGCCTGGCTCGGCGACGGCCCAGTACCAGCTGCCGGGCTGCGCGTGCCGGCGCTCCTACGACCCGGCGGCGGTGCGCCGGCTCAACGGCACACGCTCCAGCTGCGGCGGCTTCGCCGACCTGCGTGGCCCGGGACAGAACGTCATCTCGTTCAGCTTTTACGGCAACGCGTCAAGCGTGTTCTTCGGCGGGATTGAGGCGAATCTGCGCGAGGGTGCCGAGCGTCTACCCCGGCTGGGTGGTGCGCGTGTACCACGACATCGACCTCAGCCAGCCGGGCCAGAGCCAGCTCGTCTGCCGCGTGGCATGTCGGTGAGTTGGCAAGTGGTGCATGCACACTGTGGCTCCTTGCGCTGCGCTCGGCTCGTAACGCGTTTCCGTTTTTGCGTATAGCGTCATACATGTCATGGCAGTATGAATTAATTATTTGTTTTGTGCTGGATACGTACGACGCTCAATCATCTAGAGCTGTCAAAGGACCAGATTGAGAAACGAGAAACCCATTTTTAAATTTGGTGGATGACTTAAATTTCTTATGACATTATCACCACAAATGGTGTGGAAAATGCTGGCTTTATTGATCGGCAGTTTTTATTGCAACAACAGATAATGGAACGGCTTTTGCGGAGGCAGGGCATAATTTTTTCGGAGATTGTGTCTGTTCTCGTTGGGGCATGCAAACATTTTGAGAGCAATCTGACGGCGGCGGTAGACATTCAGCATTGTCTGGGCCGTTACGCAGTGTACCCCGCAGATGCGCGGCACCCTCCGTGACGTCACCGTGACGTGACGTCACCGTGACGTCCTCGGACAACTGCGGCCGATAATAACGCAAGGATGGTTACGTCCATCAACGACATGGTTTTACACTGCAAAACGTAATCCCAACCGCATGCGCAAGTTGAAATACATCCGTGCAAACCCATAACAATGGGTAAGCAATCGCCAACATGATCTAGACGATATGACGTGTAGCGCGTCCTTTTCCTGAGCCAGTAGGCGCTGTCTGAGTGTAGCTCTTTGCCGCTGCAGCTACGACAACGTGGACTTCTGCGACGTGCGCAACCTGCCCGGCCTCGGGGATCTCAGTAAAAAGTTCGGTATGATCTGGCGGTTCATGCCGCTGGCCGACGACACCGTGGAGCGCTTCATCGTCCGCGACCTCGACTCGCTCATCGGATCGGTGGGGTGGCAGACTCGCAAGAGTCTTGGTGGGCGGGGGGACTCGCGGGAGTCCCGGTGGGTCTCGCAAGAGTCGCGGTGGGTTGCGGATTCGCGGGAGTCTCGGTGGGGTGGCGGACTCGCGAGGAGTCTCGGTGGGTGGCGGACTCGCGGGAGCCTCGATGGGTAGCAGACTCTCCAGCTCCTGCGCGCGCTAATGGCGCCTCCGGCACCACGTAGCGGCTACGGCCCCGAGACTAGAGTTCAAATCTTGTTCGTTGTGTGGCGACTAGGTGACTCGGCCGTGAGAGGGTGGAAGGTAACGGACTTAACGGCCAATTCTATTGCTAAATACTGTAGCGAGCACTACTTCACGAGGAAACGAGACTCCGTGAAGCCTGTGACCAGGGAACTCAGAAGAGCAGCTGGTGCTGCGATGATGGCGACATCTTTACCGGTGCTGATGTTTGCGACCTGCATCCGCGAAAAAACCGGTTGCTTCATGCGGGCTGGGTTTCCCTGACCAACAGTGTTCTGTGTCTGCGGGGTACTGAGTTTTCTGTGGCCGCTGCCTCTGAAATCCATATCTTGCCAAGAAGCGCAGCTAATGATGTCACGTGCACTGGAATATTATTAGTTTTGCATCGTTTTCGTCTGGTCCTTTTTGTTTGCGTGTCGTTTGTCGTTATTCATACATTTCCCTGTCCTGTCCTGCTATGTCTTGCCCTAAAACGATCTGACTTGATCAGCCCATCCCTCTCTACCACATGCCTTGAGCTGCCCCTGCCCTCTCTGTCAACACCCTTTGCATCGACCTGACCTGACGCAGACATGACCTGCTCTGAACCACCCCGATCTGATTTGCGTAATCTGGACTGGTGTGTTTCCCACTCTCCATACTTCCTCACTCTGACCCTTCCATGTCATGACCTTTTCTACCCAGCCCTGCGCTGCCCGGCCCTGACCTGCGCTAACGTGACCTGACTTGACTTGCCCTACCTTGCCTGCCTTGCTCTGGCGTACGCTGTCTTTTCCTGCGCCGATCAACACTTGTTTAACCTGAGCTGGCACGCTCCACCCTGTTTCGAAGCTGACCTGGCCCACCCCGTCCTGGTTCTACGCTTACCTGGCCTGCCCTGCCCTGATCCGACGCTGACCTGGCCTGCCCTGATGCGACGCTGACCTGGCCTGCCTGATCCGGGGCTACCCTGGCCTTGCCCCGCCCTGATCCGACGCTGACCTGGCCTGCCCTGGTGCGACGCTGACTTGGCCTGTCCTGATCCGACGCTAACCTGGCCTGCCCTGCCCTGATCCAACGCTGACCTGACCTGCTCCGCCCTGATCCGACGCTGACCTGGCCTGCCCCGCCCTGATCCGACGCTGACCTGGCCTTCCCCGCCCTGATCCGACGCTGACCTGGCCTGCCCGGATGAGACGCTGACCTGGCCTGTCCTGATCCGACGCTAACCTGGCCTGCCACGCCCTGATCCGACGCGAACCCGGCCTGCCCCGCCCTGATCCGGTGCTAACCCGGCCTGTCCCGCCCTGATCCGACGCTGACCTGGCTTGTCCCGCCCTGATCCGACGCTGACCTGACCTGCACCGCCCTGATCCGATGCTGACCTGGCCTGCCCTGATGCGACGCTGACCTGGCCTGTCCTGATCCGACGCTAACCTGGCCTGCCCCGCCCTGATCCGACGCTAACCTGGCCTGCCCCGCCCTGATCCGGCGCTAACCAGACCTGTCCCGCCCTGGTCCGACGCTGACCTGGCCTGCCCCGCCCTGATCCGACGCTGACCTGGCCTGCCCCGCCCTGATCCGACGCTGACCTGGCCTGCCCTGATGCGACGCTGACCTGGCCTGTCCTGATCCAACGCTGACCTGACCTGCCCCGCACCGATCCGACGCTGACCTGGCCTGCCCCGCACTGATCCGACGCTGACCTGACCTGCCCGGCAGCGTGAGCGGGCGGCGGTGGACGAGTGGATCGCCTCCAACAAGACGTTCCACGCCATGCGGGACGCGCCTGCGCACGGCACCGAGATCCTAGGCGGCATGTGGGGCGGCTGGAACAGGCACAACGACATCTACCGGCGCGTCCGCCAGCGCATCATCAACTCCACCCAGTGGAAGTTCAAGGTCGGTGTCTGGTGACCTTGGCGACCAGATACACCAGACCCTGCTGTATGATGACCTTGGCCTGGCGACCTTGGCTTTGCGTAGTGGTGACGTGGTGATATGACAGTGAGTGAGGAAAGGATCAAATCCAGCTGTTAAGAGCACTGTTGATAAGCCATCAACGTGTCTTGAGATTTTGTATACTTCGAGTCGTTCGTGCTGGCTCAGAAATTTGTTTATTTGTTTTCGTTTAACTGGCCGGTGTCATTGATGTTCATTGGCTACCTGCTACGACATGCACAAATACGGCGGCGCATGCAGGGGACTGTCCCGGGATAGCATGCAGGGGACTGTCCCGGGATAGCATGCAGGGGACTGTCCCGGGATAGCATGCAGGGGACTGTCCCGGGATAGCATGCAGGGGACTGTCCCGGGATAACATGCAGGGGTCTGTCCCGGGATAGCATGCAGGGGACTGTTCCGGGATAGCATGCAGGGAACTGTTCCGGGATAGCGTGCCGACATGAACCGCCAGTCGGAGCGCTGCTGCTCAGCATGACGTCACAACGAGGACAAACACCTGCGCCTGCCGACCAGCAGGTGGCCGCGCTGCTCGCCGTGGCTGCAGCGCTGGATGAGCAATCATGACTGGATGGTCTCGCACCCCTCCTCCCAGTAAACCGTTCGGGACGCGCCGGCACACTGCAAGGGAAGACGCAAGATGAACTGATCACACGCGACGACGGGTGCAGGCTCAGGCTTTGCTCTGGTCCAACTGGGCTGTGGCTGATTGTAGATTCCGTGCTCATGTCACTGTTTGGTATGCCTGCCTAAATAGGATATATTTCTTAAAGCTTGCAGTGCAGCATTCATACCAACCACGCCGAATGACGCGTTTTTCAAAAGTATTCATGCGCTAGTGTAGGGTATTGGACGCAGCAAACTTGTTACGCAACTATGCTCTTTTTTGAACAATACTTCGAATTGCGTTTCCACTACCAAACAGAGATTTCAATACGAATCTTTCCGCCGAAGAGACGCAGAAAGCGTAAACTGATCGCTTGACCAGTGCTTTGTTCTATGAGTTTCGCCGTGAAGTTAGGCCAATAGCGCCACCAGGCCGAAGGGCATCGCTGCACGTTGCCATGCACTTGAAATCGTCGCTATCCTTGCTAGATTCTGCATTAAAATCAACACACCACGTAATCACAACAATGCTGACGGTAGCCCCCTGACCTCCGGCCTGTGGCCCGGCTCGGTCTAGGGGGCCCGGACCAGCGCGTGCTGACAGTGGCCCTCTGACCTCTGACCTGTGGCCCGGCTCGGTCTAGGGGGCCCGGACCAGCGCGTGCTGACGGTGGTCCTCTGACCTCCGACCTGTGGCCCGGCTCGGTCTAGGAGGCCCGGACCAGCGCGTGCTGACGGTGGTCCTCTGACCTCTGGCCTGTGGCCCGGCTCGGTCTAGGGGGCCCGGACCAGCGCGTGCTGACGGTGGCCCTCTGACCTCTGGCCTGTGACCCGGCTCGTCCGCAGGGTCTGGACCAGCGCGTGCTGACGGTGTGGCCCTCTGACCTCTGGCCTGTGGCCCGGCTCGGTCTAGGAGGCCCGGACCAGCGCGTGCTGACGGTGGTCCTCTGACCTCCGACCTGGGGCCCGGATCGGTCTAGGAGGCCCGGACCAGCGCGTGCTGACGGTGGTCCTCTGGCCTCTGACCTGTGACCCGGCTCGTCCGCAGGGTCTGGACTAGCGCGTGCTGACGGTGGTCCTCTGGCCTCTGACCTCTGACCCGGCTCGTCCGCAGGGTCTGGACCAGCGCGTGCTGACGGTGGTCCTCTGGCCTCATATCGTCAAGCATCGCGACCTCATCGCGCACGACAGCTACCTCTGCTGGTACTACCCCATGTCCAAGCCGTTCCCCACGCAGCGCAAGAGCCCGCACGACTTCGTCGGTTCTCCCAGCCTGATAGACAAGGGGTTTCGCCTGAAGACGCACTGCTCCTATTTCTGCCGACCACGGGACCACAAGGACTGGGTTTGGTGCTGACGACGGGCTCGAGCCGTGCTGTTCTGGTGCTAATCTGGTGCTGATTTGTGCCGATCTAGTGCTGATCTGACGCTGATCTGGTGCTTATTTGGTGCCGGTTGGTGCTGATCTGATCAGTGCTGGTCTCATGCTCATCTGATGCTAATGTGGTGCTTCGCTGATCTGGCTTCGCTCCAGTGCTAATCTGATACCGATATGGCGCAATAGGGTGCTTCTTGATTTACCATGAGACCAGACCATGCAGCATGTAGCATCGCGGGGATATCTCCGAGTTGGGTGGACATCACCAAATGAAATGAAGCTCTGCAACAATGACGACGTCTTCTAAAATAATGTGGAGAGCTTCGGAGGTTTGGCCTCCTTGGCGGCCATTTGACCCTTGCCCCATGGCTTGCCCAGTACGCAACACCCATGGTTAGCACGGTGTTTTTAAAGTCTTTCTTCCAACTCGATTTGGGAAGAGTCCAACCCTAGTTCCAAATCAGCCCCAGATCAGCAAAATATTTGCGCCAAAGCAGCGAAAAACCTGCCCCAGATCAGCAACAGATCAGCGCCAGATCAGCAACAGATCGGCGCCAGGAACCAATCAATCAGCTTCTGCTGATCGGGCGGTGACCAGATCGGCAGCGATGTGTCGCGGGCCAGCGAGAGTCCAGCGCCGCCGGCGGGGCAGTGCCAGCGAGAGTCCAGCGCCGCCGGCGGGGCAGTGCCAGCGAGAGTCCAGCGCCGCCGGCGGGGCAGTGCCAGCGAGAGTCCAGCGCCGCCGGCGGGGCAGCGCGGCAGCAGACTAAGCTGGGAACGGTTGACGAGCCTGCGGAGACCACTGTGATAGCGATGCGAACACCGCTCACCGTAACACCGATGCGAACACCGCTCTGCTGCTCTGCTGCTGCTGAACACCGCTCTGCTGCTGCCACACCCGAAGTCCAGCGGCCGCTGCTGGGCGCGTCACAGGACAAGTCGCGGGGCCGTGTGTGTCGCATGTCAGAGAACGTCACGTGACACCGTGTGCACACAGTGTGACGGTGCTGGCAGCTTACGTCACTGACGTCACCATGCCCTTTGACCGTGTGTTTTTCATTCTTAGCACATCATGTGGCGTGGATTGTGTGGCGGTGATCACGCTTAAACCACAGAGCAGGATGCTGTTGTGGCTGGGATGGCTGTGGCCCAAGTATTCGCAACATTTCGGAGAACACACTGCTATTATTGTGCGATGTTACCGCGCGTGCTACCGCAGGCTGAGCAGGGGGCCCCGCTGCTCAAGCCGGCTTTGGGAATAGCTGGCTGAAAATAGCCGCGCGCCGCTGTGTTGTTAGGTGGGATAGACAGAACACGCTGGCGGCCTCCTGACCGGTCCCGTCGTGGATGGCTGCTGGCGGCTGTTTTGCAGTTTGTTCTGGCGAGTTCACCGATGAGTGCTGCAATTCGTTTACAAGCTACACTGGGCAGTGTCTTGCACCCGCACAGGGTGTGATTTGTTGTGGGCGATGATACGGTAATATGCAAGCCTAGGGGGGGGGGGGGGGGGGGGGGGGGGGTCAATACACGACGAATCCGCCCATGGATGTCTGGAGGTCAGCACGGGAGGTCAGCGCGGGGGGTCAGCACGCGGTCCGCGCGTCCCTGGGACGCCTGGGAGTCAGTACACGCTCTGTCGGGCTCTGAGTGTCGTCCGCCCCGGATAATGTCGGAAGTCCGCCTGGCGCCAGGATAGGGTGGACCGGTCTTGTGAGCTGAACCCAGGTACTCGGAGCACCGCTCTCCTGTAGCTGGGGATGGGCGCCATATGATCAGGGTAGTCGGCGTGACCTAAAGCCCGAAACGCCTTCATTCTGTGGTGGCAAGTGAGATCATCCTATGGTGGGGTTGACCACTTAGAAATGCGCAGTCGCCCGAGGGTGGATGGCTGTCACCCAACGGTGGGTGGCTGTCACCAGAGGGTGCGCAGCTGTCAACAGAGCGTAGGCCTCTATCACCCGAGGGTTGGCCGCTGTACCCCGGGAGTGGTCTGTTGTTAACCGAGCCGCAATAGATGTTACCTGAGAATGAATCGCTGCCAACCAGATAACCAGGCAACTGAGTCAGTACAACTGAACTAGTGACAGTTGGGCCAGGGTGACAGTATGTTGCCATGTTTATGATAATAACAATGACGTTCATTACCAACGCGCTCCACGCACGACGTGCAGGGACTTTTGATTATGCATCCAACATTGTAATACATACGGTTTAAAATGATGTCCGTCTTCATTACAAATGCGTTCGGTCTGATAATGGCTTTTTTGATCGCAAACGGTGGTGAGAGGTTTCATCAGTTGATGGTTGCATATCACACAGCTATTTGCCTTTCGAATCCATGAACACAACGAATCCCACAAAAACCCACTGATGTCCATTGTCCATACCTGAATCGCGCCTACCGGTGCCGTGGGTTCGCATCCTGTACGCCGCAACGTCTTCCTCGCGGCCCTGGCAGCCCCTCGTCAACCGAGCAGAGCTGATGGGAAAGCACGATCCGCCGGCGCGATCTGATCATTGAGCTTTGAGCCGGATGCTCCCTGCCAACCGCAGGGCCTCATGCAGGCTAGCCTGCGGACTGGCAGGCGGCCCAGCGCGATCGGAGGTGGCCAGGTCCGTCCGCGGCCCCCCAGCCGCCCACGACCGCTGGTCAGTCGGCCGCCATGATCGCCTCCGCGTACACACCGTCTGCGTTGCCCTGCAGGTGAGCCCTGCCCCGCTGTGATCCGCTGGTGCAATATCGACTGATTTGTAACGTGATGATTGTATGTGTTGATTTGCGCTTTGGACTTGCGATCCAGGTGGTGTGTTCACGTGAGACGTGTCCGCTTTCGTCAGGGAACGTCTCACATCCGTTGCAAAGTACCCAGCAGGTAAGCGGGGGTTTGCCAGCAGCAGATGGCTATACCAGTCGTCACGAAATATTCGCCGTTTTACGCATCATTTTATAATTTTGATCAACTGCCTGCTGGTCTTTGCGGAACAAGCTCCATCGTACCAAACGTTTTCAGCTGACGTAGTTTCCTTGGCAATGTCGGGAGGGTGTGCACATGGGTGCAGCCACCTCCCCCGGGTCTGAGGCATGCCATGGATCATTCAGCCCACCCCAGCCATAGTTCGGCCAGTTGAGCTTGAAGCCGTGTTACCACCGACCTGCGGGCATCGAGTGCTCAACGCGCCACGTTACTGACCTACCTCCTGATTATTGAAAGCCTGCAGGGCGAAGATGCACTAAGTTGGTCCTACGAGACGTATTCTTGACTTTCCTTACCGTACACAAGCCAAAAGCGAATAATGCGCCCCGGCCAACTTATGTTCTTGTCCAATCGTCCTAGAGGTGGAGAGGCTGTAACCGCCCGGTTTCATCAACTTCAGTGATCCAACTCACTTGCATCATGAATCAGGAGTGTTCTCCGCTCCGTTGGTACCATGGGCGGCAGCTGCGCTGCGTCCGATGGCTGCCGAGGTAAGAGCGGCACCACGCTGGAGATGCGAGGACTGATTTCCGAAACTGGTCAGACAGCCGGTTCCAGGAACACCGCTCGGCCGCGCAGCAAGGCTCACGGCCGGGACTGCCAGGAGGTGGTCCATCAGCGGTCACCGCCGGCTGGCGCCAGTGACGTCACGGTAATCAGGCTCCAGACTTCACATCCTGCACGCCGCGTCGAGGACAATGCTGGGCGCAAGGATCTGACGGAAATGTTCCACCCATTCCAGGTGTTGGGCCTGACGTGTGGCGCGCCATGCCTCACGGGGCCTGACCTGGACGCGGTGGCGGCACTCCAGGACAGCATCACGCCGGTGTTCCCTCCGACTTCGGAGCGAAGCGCCGCCCCTGGCGGCGGTCAGCCGTACTTCACCTTCACCCAGCGGCCGCACGCCAAGGCGCCGTGGGAGCTGCCTCCGATACCCCCCGGCAGCGGCACCTGCCGGCATAGTGGATCCCGGCTGTCCAACAACGCTGACGCCTTGCCCCGGGGGCTGCTGTCACTCCTCCTTGTTTGAGAGTCCTTGCCCAGAGGGGACGAGCATGGCATTGGGCAACTGCGTGCATTTCTCGCATTGATATTCAATCCAAATCTTTCGAATGAATGAATTTCTGGGATCACCGCGTACGCTAAACAATGCGTGTTGTGTGAACTTTGACCCCTGCCACCCAATCGCGCAAAACCAGGTTAACGACAAAATCTTGGTGCGAAGTTTAGCGTGTCGCAATGCTCGGAACGGTCCGTCCTGCCCTCTGACGTCACCTGACCCTTAGTGTGGCCGCTGCTACCGGTCGCAGGTCATATCTGTCAAGGGCAAATAGCGAGCGCCCAAAGCAACCCTAACGCGCCTACAACGAGTGGATGGGCCGGAAGGCAGGCCCTCCAGCCGTCTGAACCATTGGGACTCTTATGCCGCCGGACGCGTGGACGGCAGAGAATGTGCTGGGTGCAGTCCGGTACGGGACCGCCGCGCAAGCCAGAACGGGGCGAACTTCGGAGTAAAAAGCTCAGCTATGACACCAGCTGGGCTGTGGGGACCGCTCCTGTGCCTATATCACGCGTCTTTATTGACTGGAAATCTGTGTGCAACGCTACATGTAGCATTGAGCGAGCGAAACAAAATTGAAAATGTAGAAACGTCTATCCCACACACAAAATGGCCGCGATAAGAGCGTTTGTTTCCTGAAGTGACTTGTACGCCTCCATTGATTGCAATAACCGACGCACGACTTACTGTGTGACTGGTATGGATTAGTGCTGCTAGCATTGTTTTCTACAATAGCTTTTATCCATCGCAATAATAATTATCTAGATATATCAACTACAATAAACATTATCCAATGGCTATTATCTACAGTGGTTATTATCACTGGAAGTCACCAAACGTTTATATCAGTCCAGTGGTTACGTCGTCGTGCTCAGCCAGTCAAACATTTCAATATCTTTTAAAAGGACAGATTCAGCTTGTGACACGCATGCTAAGTGACGATGAGCACTCTTCAGCACACGCGTCATCAGCGGCGGATCCGGAAGGAGGCCACGAGACCACGCCCCCTTCAGCCCAAAGGGACTCAAAACTGAACGAACGGACGCAGTTTTCGAACAAAAAACATAACAAAATTGGACATATATGGGCCCCTAGGGGACCAGGGACAGTCGCGGACAGACAGGGACAGACAGGGACGGGGACGAAAGTGAAGGGCCTTGAGCTGGCAGCTGACAACATTAGCTTTTCGCTGACTAAAAAGGTGGTGATTGGGGAGATTTTGAGGCCTTTCCACCGTCCAAAGGACGTGTCCTGTTGCC